GTAAATTTGCCAGTGCAAAACCAACCCAATTTTGCAATTTATATGAACTGTTTTACACTATACATATTTGTGTTCACACTTAATTGCTTCTTTTCCAAACGTAGCCTTAAGGAAGAAGTGGTGAGGGCAATAGAGTTGGATGCCCCCGCCTTCTTTTTTACTTCTATTTGGGCTTAAAAATACCTTAGAACAATCCCAATTGAATTAAGAAAACCCATGCAGCAAGTAGGGGTGGCCATGAGCCAAGCTTTGGCACAAGCTACTAGACCTCACCTCGGCTCAGCTTGAATCCACCCCTAGCACCAAACCAAATTTTCCTACTAGTTAGTTAGGATACTCTAACTAGAATTTTGACTAGATGACAATTTGATCCACCCTGTCAAGGCTCCTCTCTCCCCACCTTGATTAGGGTAGTTTTTTTTACTACTAATACAAATATGCTTTATCCTATTTTAAAATAAAAAAAAAGTTTTAAAATAAATAAACAATCAAATTCTATTTATATAAATTATATTAATATAAGGGAAAATTATAGTCAAAGTCGGTTGTACATTTAAAATTAGCTGCAAGGTGGTTCAGAAACCAATAGAACTCTAACAATTGACTCTACATTTCAAATTATAAAAAACCCTGCCATGTCATTGGAGGTTTATATGGTTGTTGCCAACATGGGACTCTTAATCCATGTTGGACACAACAAAAAGTTTATATTGAAATTTCCCTTAATGTTGTGATTTAAAAATAAAAATAAAGGATTTCCAATCTCTCTCTCTCTCTCTCTCTCTCCCTCCCCCTCTATGTGTGTGTGTGTGTCAATTTATCATTCTCCTTCAATCTCTCCTATTCTCTTTCACGATCAATCTCTCCCTTTTCCTGAATCTCTATCGTTTTCCCTCAGTCTCTCTCGCTCTCTCTCTCTCTCTCTACTTTTTATTTTTCTCACACACTTGTACGGTATTAATTAGACTGTATAAAAGAACATGAGACCAACTTTGTATGGTTCTAAAATTATTGCACCAATTTAATAAAATTCACAAGAAACTCTTGATTAGGAAATTTACACAAACTTGATAGAAATTTAACTTGATTGTACAAGTGGTTGGTCCCTTTACTAACTTAATAAAATTTATGATATTAATCAAACCGTATAAATAAACATAGGACCAACTTGATAAAATTCACAAATCGTTATACAAATTTGACAATATTTAGAAAAAAAAACTCTTGACCAACTTGGTGAAATGATTGTAGGAGGGAGATTCAAAATTTCAAGAATCTCATATCCCTCCCCTTTACTTTTGCCTTTTGTCTTTTCTTTCTTTCCTCTTCCTCTTGCATGTAGGTAAAGACCCAGTGCTTGGGAAAGAGATGGACTTGAGTATATTAGTATACTTGCTTCCTCTATGGGTAAGGTCCCACAAGAGGAAAGTACTATATACCACTACATGCATTTAAGGGGAGGCATTGTGGGTGCTTTTCGCACACATCCATGCCAATCTGAGTATAGTCATGCTAAGCTAGGTCAAGCATGGGCACGAGCATGCATGTGTGCACGCACACCACGCCTTAACGTTTAACTATTTAACCATTTGATCTCTTAACCGTCAGGTTGATTATTGTTTTAATTTTTAAATGTTTCATCTTGGTGGATTTTCGCTCTTGTGTCTCTCTCAGTGTCTCTTCGAACAGGTGCACTATTCTGGAGAGGCATCTCTCTGAATTGTCACATTTGTGTCCATTTGAGTGATTGAGAGCACTCTATAATTAGAGTGTTGGTCAACCCAGTGACACATACCAGAACACACACAACACAGTCTCTTATTTGTTCTTTGTGGTTGTATTCCCCTGATCATCATTCATTTTGGTTTACGAAGGTCTCATAAGCAAGTGCACTCCTTCCAAAAGATTGTGGGCTATTTTGTCTTTGCAACCGATTTGTATTCACCTAGTTGCACTATAGGGGTAAATGCGGTTTTAAGGATACTGACCAAGTGGCACAACTCAGCCCGCTTACTGACTTCTCAATTTCTTAAGAATAGTTTTACAACACTATTGCGTTTGGTTTTGGAAAGTGAAAGCGATAAGTTCTATTATGCCTTCTATTTATTATTTTGACAACAACGTTTTAGAACCATACTAAACTGGTCTTATGTTCATTTATACTGTCTGATTAATATTGATGAGGGTAGATTTGGCCCTCCACTAACATCATGACACGTGGCATCTTAGAACAAATGGATGACACCCTGAGACCACCTTGGCGATAACTTGCTTTAGCCAAAATAAGGAAGACTTGGCAACCTACCTCCGCCAACCTAGAGACTGACCTTTGGCGACCTGATGGAAACCTACCTAGCGACCTACCTCTGCCAACCTACTAGAGACCCAGCTGGAAACCTACCTCTGATGACCTAACGGAGAGCCATTTAGCGACCTATCTTGGAACGACAACGGGGAGGGGCGGGGATGGGAGCTTCTCCCCATCCCCATCCCCGTCCCCACTAATGAGGACAAGGTTATCCCCTTCCCCATCCCCGTGATTTTTAATAATGTTAAATATTTTTGTTTTTGTTTTTTGATTTATTAAAAGAAATAAAAATAAACATAATTAAAATTTACAATCCTATTAGAAAAGATTAAAACATATTCAACCATATGTTTAAAAATATTAATATATAGATGTATGTGTAGATATATACATATATAACATATGTGTACATATATACATATATATTAGTGGGGATCCCACGAGGCGGGGAGTGCTCTTCCAATCCCCGCTAACGGGGATGAAAATTTCCCCATCCCCATTCCCACGAGAGAAAATGACCCCCATCCCTACCCTATTTGGGGCGGGGATCAAGGAAATAGGAAAATTTGGCATCCCTAGACCTAACACCGTTGAGCTGATGACCTACCTCCGCTGACCTGGCATCCTACCTTCGCCGACCTAGCGACCTACCTCTGCTAACCTAATAGAGACCCAGCTAGCGACCTCATACACAACTCGGCAGGGCAGTAGCAACACCTCGTCCAGGGCCAACCTATAGTACCTCCTTATTACCGTTCCAAGGGACCACAACGTGAAGAGTGACCTCCTCGAGGACTTGCTGACCTGGTTGAGGTCCATGTGGCGACCTACGGGACGTGCTCGCCGACCTCTTCCTAAAGCAAGTTATTGTTTCTGACTTCTCCAGGACCACGATGATTGACCGTTAACAGACTCTATCCCTCTCCTTTGAACATGGTTGAAGTAGTTTCCAAAGAATCTTAGACGCATTACAGGAAGCTCCCGGTTTCGTATGCCTATATAAAGGCCTCATTTCTAACCTCAAAAGGTACGCACGATTTATCTCTTGCAGCTCTCTAGCACTCTCACTTTTAGCTCTCTCAAAAATCTTCAATTCGCTGACTTAAGCATCAGAGTGCCTATCCCAGGTAAAGCAGTCCAAGCACTCTGACACTGTGTATTTGCAGCTCGACCCAGCGAACTAGCTAGTTTGGCATCAAAGTTGCCCTCTAGGAGGGAGCTACCAGATCATGCATCATCAAATACCGTATAAATTTGTAAGAAAAATTAAAAAAAAAATGAATGCAAGAGGGAGCGGGGAAAGACTGAGGGAAGATGACAAAGATTAAGGGAGAATGAGAGATCGACTCAAAAAGAGAATGAGAGAGATTGAAGGAAAATGATAGATTAACACAGAAACACACACACACACATAGAGCAGGAAAGAAACAAAGGTTTTATTTATTTATTAATTTTTTCTGCAGACTAAAGCTAAGAGAGTGGGAGAGACAGAGGGAGCGGGAGAGAAATTGAAAACCCTTCTTGTTTATTTTCAAATCACCCAACATGAAAGATAATTTCAGTATAAGATTTTTATTGTGTCCAAAAGGGATTAAGAGTTCTATGTTGGTAATAGTCACATAAACCTCTGATGACAAGGCAGGGTTTTATAATTTGAAATATAGAATTGGTTATCAGAGTTTTGTTGGTTTCTATACCAACTTGCAGCCTAATTTTAAATGTTTATCCCGCTTTGACTATAGTTTCCCCTAAATACAAATGTTGAATTTATTGATTATAAAATGATATAAATATATATGTATTTATGAATGTGTGTGTGTGTATATATATCTTTATATATATATATATATATATATATATATCCATTTTTAGTTGGATTAATGAGATTAAATTCGCATTTGATCTAATTATTAATCAGATGTAGGTTTTAATATTTACATATGAAATAATTGGATCAAATGTAGTATTGGGTTTTACACTTTCAGAGTCTATTGACAGCTATATTATAGATCATGGGCTAGGCTGGGTTTATCACCTATAACAAGGTGATAATCAAATAATCTTCCCTAACCTTTGACCCAACTCTCTGAAAGCCGGTTTGGGAAGATAAATTCACCTGAAAGTTGTTTTATTAATTGAATTAAAATGTATTCCAGCTTTTTCTGATTTTTCATCAAATTGCTTCTAGGCTTTTCCGTGTGGAGCGCACTTGCAAAGTCAGAGGCTTTTGCATGAGAGCCCTCCCAAATAGGGGTTGCTCATGGTTCAGTGGGCTTTTTTTAGGACCGATCCGGTACTACCGATTTTTGGAAAATCAGTAATCAAAATTGAATTGAAATAAGTTGGTTAATTGGTTGACCGGTTCAATTAACCATCAATTCAGTTCGTTAGTTTTTTGGTTTTTGATTTTTATAATATATATTATATAAATATACAAAAAATATAAATATATATAAAATATTATATTGTAATTAATAAATAGTATATCATTTGTTATAAATATATATAAATATATAATACATATTTATTAATTTATAAAATATAAAAAATATTAATATATATATATACTATATGTATACCAATCAGTTCGGTTAACACCAAACCGATCAGTTCAATTTACCAATTTTTTGGTTCGGTTTCGGTCAATTCGGTTTTTTGTTTTTTTTTTTCTCACCCCTACTCCCAAATAGCATCAATTCATCAATTTGGTGTCGTACCCCGACTTCTTTAAAGCTGTTGTACAGGGAAGGTTCTCTAGAGCCCAAAAGATCAAGGAAAGCTGTCTCTGGTGCATCCAAACAGGGCCTAAATGCCATACTTTCAGAGCCGTTGGTGAAGAAAGCACCCGTCCGGTTTGAGACTTGGAGAATTTCGACCGTTAAAAACCGTTTTCACGTAACTGGAAATCTCCTTGTATGTAAGATAAAATGGAAAACCTTTTGTGACTTCAAACCTGCAGCCAGGCGTTAACAGATTTCTCATTTTAACAGGGCCCAGGTTCGTTAACAGATTTGTCATTTTAACTCTTGGTTAATTTAGGGTTTCATTTCGGTTCTAGATTTTGCTGGCACCCCTTTTCTTCTCCGCATCTTATTTTTGTATGTGTTCTTAGCAGATTGACTGAAGTGAGATTTTTAAGGAACCACTTAAAAAATGCATAACAATTGAACTCTAGAAGATATATTGCTAATGAACCAGTTCGATATAATGTCTTCAAGAAAAATAGACATTATCGGTTTGTGTCAAGAACCGTAATTGAAATCATTGTAGTTATTTATGTTAAGTGGGTGATGTATTCCTTTGAACAGATAGTCTATGTAACTCGACGCTGATAGAAGTGCAGACTTCATTCATGATTTTCAATTTATTTACATCAAAAGTTTCTTCCCAGACTAATAGCCACCATTCTGAACGATTTAAATTACGCAGGAACATGTTTATGGATGAAAAGCAATTCTCCCTAAAAATGGCGCTGATTCCATTTCTGGTGGGTCGAGTTATAGGGAAAAAAATGCTTCCTATCTATAAAGTTGTTATTCTCCTACGTGATAGTTGTTGGACTCTAAAAAAAAATACTAATAACTGTGTTTCATTCATGAAGACAACCATTTTTTTCTTCTGCCTTGTGGAAAGGAAGTTTCTTCACTTGTTTGAACTCCATGGTTTTGTAGACTGTTGGAGGCCCATGGTTTAATGGTGATATCTTAACAAGGAATGATAGACTTTTGCATTTAGAGATAGGGCCGGCTCAGTTTGGGAAGAGTACAAATACAAATATTACACTGCAAAACCTTGTATTATGTATTATTTTGTATTCATAAGCCTTGTATTTGCACTGTACATATTTGTCTTTGTACTCTTACCAAACTGAGTAAGAGCAACTTGACCCATGAATGATATAAGAATCTATCTGTACTTTCTTCTATAGATTAGAATTTGGTAAAATCCTTTGAATATCCATTTCATGTACATCAGTACATAGGTATTTATCCTATCTCACCCACTAAAAAGTGTAAGCAGATTGGCTCAGAACACTACCCCCAAAATGAAAGTATGTTTTTTAACCTGAATAAAAATACATATTTACTCTTATAAGAGCTACAATCATTTGAAGATTCAAAACAATAAGTATACAGTTGTTATAACTTCTGAAGTTTTACATTGGGCTTGGTTAGATCAATTCCTTTTCCTAATCAAGAATAACATAGCAGTGCACTCAGCATGATATGTATCTGGTGTAGCAAGAAAATTATAGAACTCTGTACTTCAGGGGTAGTGACACTTCAGGGCCTCAACTTTCAAGTGCAACAATTAAGTACCCTGAACTTTTAAAAATCAACACTCAAGTCCACCCATTGGCTTTCCATCAATTATCTGCAGCATGTGATATCATATGTACCTTGAAACATTTCAAAATCTCAAAACTACCCTTCACAAGAGGTTTTTTTGAGACTGACCTTGCATCATAATCTGACCATTCTCCCAAACCAGTTCAACAAATTCACCATCAGGGCTACATAAAAGGAATTTAAAATGGGCAGTTTGGTAATTTCACCATTCACTGTAACATTGGTCAAAGGTGCTGGACTTATTAGTTTTTGAAAGTTCAGAGTACTCGGTTGTTGCATTTGAAAGTTAAGGTCCTTAAGTGTCACAACCTCCAAAGTACAGGGTACCTATCTGTAATTTTCCCTTGACATAATATCCTAGAGCCAGAGAATCAAGGGAAAACCACGATATGTTATCTGGGTTAATCAGTAATTGGGTTTCTGAGGTCATGTTACAAATTAATTTTGGGTTCAATAATATCTACGAGAGACTTTTGACTATTTCCAGAACCTTTGGTGCACAAAAATGGGGATACATATGCTTTATTGCATCATAACTGGTTCTATTGCGGAAACATTCAAGTATTTAAACTTTGACTATTTTCAGGATATACAGATTTAAATTCTCAAACTGGTAAATTAATTACTAATTAAAAAAAAAAACAAATTCTGGAATATGTGATATTTTCAAATCCAACATGGTGTTGACTTGACATGCTACATACTAGATTATATGATTAGTTTTATCAGAATATGAACATTGTGACTGCGGTTGCAATTTTATTTTTGATGATATCATCTTTTGTTGCACTTTTAAGTTTCTGATATCATCTTTTATGTTCTTTGAAAATACTATGTTTATTTTTCATGAAAATTTTGATTTTTTGTCCTTTTCTCAAAATGAACAGGGTGAATTCAGTGCCAATATATCTAGACGTTTAAATGGAGTGTTAATGTGGACATTTTGGAATGGGAACTGTTATTAGTAAGACTGCCACAGGCATTGGTGGAATTCTTGGAAATGCTTTTGTGGCTCCAATTAAAACAGTTTTTGGTGGATCATGCGAGTAAGGACACATCTTTCTCATGCATATTTCATTGTTGTGAAACTGTACATAAATATAATTCAGGTTTAAATTGAAAAACAAAAGGGAAAATCAATGATGCTGGAAAGACATGGTACCAGAACAGTTTTGATCAATCAAAACTCACCCAAATATATGATGCCAGAAAGACATGGTACCAGAAGAGTTTTGACCAATCAAAACTCATCCGTGAATTTAGATAAATTTCACCTGATTCGTTAATACATTTATGATACCAATTGATTGGTCACAATTTTTTTGGATATCATGTATTTCTGGTATCATAGTCAAACCCAAAATAACATGGAGTATAAAAAAACTATAAATGGTATCATCCCTTTAATTGTTTGTTTCATATGCAGTGTCTAGTCTTAAATGATCCTGAAGCCCCGTATCATACATCTTACAGAACTTTTCCATTTATATGCTTGATTTGGTATATTAAGCTCTTTGATGTGCATTCATCAGTTGAAACTACTAAGCAGTCAATGGATTCTGAAGCTTGTTACCGACTTTTTATCCCTAAGTAGCCATCCAGATTTACCTCTAAATTAGCAGGTTAAGATCATTAGGTTTGAACTTTGGGCAGTGGAAAACCATTCTGACAGATAAAGGGTTATCAATTATCAGGACTTCTGTTTGGATCGAGTAGGGTTCTTTGGTTGTTGAAACTTCTCCCCACTATACATTATTCTTTTCTAAGTAAATCTTTTTGTCTTCTGATTTGCAGAAATTTGTTAACAAGCTGATTCCTATAAATATTTACATTGTTGAATAATGTCATAATTTATTGTGTATAGATTCAATAATCCTTGTTTTATCAAACTGTTGCTTTCATTTTAGTAGAGGGCATGAACTTTTGATCTGGTTGATTCTGCAGGGGCATTTGCTTGGGAACATGGGATATTATCTGTTTTATTGAGCATTTCTGTGTCTCCAATCTGGTCAAACTGTTGATGGTTTTGGGCCTTGCCTATATAAGTAAGTTTCTTTTCTATTTACTTTTGTCCATGTCTTATTAGCTTTTCTTGGGCATCCTCTAGTCCCTGCTATATATTAAAAAGCATAAGGGCCTAATGGTCAAGATATCTGGGGTCTTGGGAGGGATGCACTGAATACAGATGTACTATATTTGAACCCATTTTCTCACACAAGAGAGAAATTTTCCCCTATTAACAAGCATACATACCAAGTACTTTTTCAAGCTTTTTGAAATGGAAAACTTTATCTTCAACAGTCAATTAGTTTCTCTTTGTTTAATTTTTTTATTGGAGGGTTGGGGGTTAAACAAACCTTGACCAGGTTTTGAATCAAAGAGATTGACAATCTGCGTATATATGTTTCCTAGCATTCCTATTTCAGTGTGCTAGAGTACTCTATGAAGAAACTATAAGCATACATTATTTCATTTATATAATGACAGAAAATCTGCAAAAAAGTTGGCAGCTTTGTTGGCATAACTTTTTTATGTCTCTTAGAGACACTCAACAACACTATGCCAAATATTATGGCCTCTTCTTTTATGAGTAAAAAAGAAAGGGGAACTTATGATGCCAGAATTTGACCAATCAAAACCACCCATGAATTTTGATTAAAAAACCCACCTGATTGGTTATCACTTTTATGATGTTGGTTGATCAGTTATAAGTTTCCAGATGTCTTTCCAGCAACATAGTCGAACTCAAAAACAAAATAAAAGAAACAGGAAATAGATGGTCTAAAGCATCTGGGGAACCTATGCTTTCTATTACAGCTTATGTGAGTTATATGCCTTTGAAATGCTCCAACTGTTCATTTACTTTTATTTTAAGTTTGACAGCTTAATCTACTGTGACATGCAATTATTTATTTATTGATAATTAAGCGCACTATTTGAAAAATTCCAATCATTCTTTTACTTTCTTGATTCAGGTATAATGTTCATCTACCTCCTCTTTAAAATTGGAATAATCCAATGTGTGGGAAGAAGCCTCTGTAAAATGAGGTGGGCTGCATGCGAGGCATATTGGCGTGCATTACAACATATCACCTGTTTTCTGTGGCACAAGCTAAAGAACACCAAGCGAGTGCACCGTTGCCGGCACTTCCAAGATATTGAAGAAGGATGTGGTTCAACTGATGATGGTGATTGTTCAGAGACATATGGAAGTTTAAGTACCAAAAGAAAGTGGAAATCAATTAAAGGGAGAAGGAAGGATCAAATGCAAATGTCTTTTTATCCTGTGAGGCAGGGGTTGAGAGATGGGTACAGGAGTCATAGTCATCATCATAATGTGAGGTTGAAGGCAAGTGTTGTGTCAGTCCGTGTTAAGGGTGAATCTACTCGAGCATGCAACTCAAGGCATATTCAAGTTAGCAAGCCTGGTAATTTAAGAAAAGCTATGAGGTTGTACAAAAGGAGGAGGATCAGTTGATCTCTTCCTGACAGCATTTTTTTTAATTGGGTGAAGAGTTAGAGGTGCCAATTCTCTAAAAGTTGAGGGTATTTAGGATCTGTTTGGTTCACACTCAGAATTGGAATCGGAATCAGAATTGAAATCCATCAGAATAGGAATCAAAATGGATTATTTCCCCTGCTTGTTTGGTTCAGATGGAATTATAATCAGAATCAGCTAGAATGGGATTCTCATGTACGAGGGAGAGGGAATGACCATTCCCTCGAATGGAGGAATGTCATTCCACATGGAATGGAAATTAGATTCAATTCTATCCAATCAATTAGTTGGCGGCCCATATTCCAATTCTGATTTTAGACCCCTGTTTTTTACAAACCAAATGGACCCTTATATTTTTTGTTGCATTACAAAGCTTTTGAAGAGCCCAAACTGTCCAAAATCACAAGAGCAATATGCCCTTGTGTAAGTCTTGGCAGTACTTGGTAAGTTCTAACCTGCTGACCAGACCACATTGCTGGCCACGTTTAGACAGCCACACATTGGGGATATCTTTTGCACTTAATATTACTGATGTTCCTGATGTACAGTTGTGTGAATGTGGCCAGCAATGCGTTGTATGATTCTAAACAGCATGGGCTTTTTTTTTCAAACAACCAATCTTTTATCGTTCTTGCTGGTAGGGATGGCAATAGGGCAGGTTTCACGGATAGTTTTGTAAATTTTAGACTTTCCAACCTGTATCCTCCCCAAAACCTGTAGCAGGTAGGCGTTTTTTAAAGAAAAAAAAAAAAAAAACTTCCTGTTGGGGCAAGTGCCCACTGGATAGGATAGAAATTGCCATCCCTATGTCGGAGGTTGAAAGGCCCGTACATCAGCTATATAACCAATCAAGAGTGAACGCACCATAGACTATGTAATCAATCAAGGTGTATACGGATCATTGACATATTCATTATTGATTGATTAGGTGATTTTAGATGCTTCTGTTTTGTAGCAAATCCAGAGGTTGAAAGGCCTGTACATATTCATTCTTGATTGATTAGGTAATTTTGATGCTTCTGTTTTGTAGCAAATCGCAGTCCCATGGGTGGTTTGCAGAATTTATTAATGTTGAGGATTATTTTTAGCTGGGGAGATCATGGGCTGGGCCGGGTCGGGCTGGGTTTTGCAGCTACAGTTATGTCGCAGCCCGTTTGGGCCTACACCTTGTATATAAACTATTACATGTATAATATCATATATTAAATGCCATATGCTATGTATATAGTTTTTATACATTATATAAAATATTATTATAGTATATATTCTAAGTGTAGTATTATAATATTTATATATAACATATAATATAACATAAAATAGCATATACATATATGTATACATTATAAAACACATATTTAAATGTATGTGGTCTAAGCCAGGACAGGCTGAAATAATCACCCCTAGTTTTTGGACTAGAAATTACTTTCTGTCTATGGGGCATCTAGGAAACCAGATCTATCACCCAACGGTTCCAACTAGCCTCCCAACAAATATTACAGCCACAGTTGGGAACATGTCATCATGGATGACAAGGAAGATATTCCCAATGTGGGTTGTTAACTTGGGGAGTAGGAAACCAGATCTATCATCCAACGCTTCCAAACTAGCCTCCCAACAAATATTACAGCCACAACTGGGAACATGTAATCATGGATGACATGGAAGATATTCCCAATGTGGGTTGTAAACTTCTGGAGTAGATCCATGCAGAAAATTGGTATGGGCCTTTGGAGCTAAAACAGTTTTTTGTCACTATACTATGTGCAACAAGACTTTCTTAATCCAAATTAAAGCAAAAGGATGTGACATCTTCAATCTATATATATAAAGGAAGGCTTTCAGTCTACAACCTCCACCATTCAGACAAGTAGCAATTTTTAAGAGATTCTTGCTAAAACGTATAATTCACTACCAGGCTACAACTCCCCACCATTCAAATACATGGCCTTCTTATTTTTCTATAAAGCATGTGGCATTTTCTGAGAAGTTGCTAGTAAAGCCCATAACACACTACCACTATTTTCACTCCATTCCTAAAAAAAATGCAGAAAATGCAGAAGTGGATAATCACTTATATCTGCATTCTATCAATTTCACTCAATCATTAACCCTCTACGTATCATAACAAAAGAAAACTATCCATATTCTAATAATTATTGAAAAACTATTTTTTGAAATAAATATTTTTTTTGAAATTTTAATAATTATTTAAAATATTAATAAATATAAATTTAATAGTATTGATTTCATAACGTAAATTTAACATTATTGATTCCCCATACTTAGTATGGGGTCATTCACTAGTTGATGATTAAAAAAATAATGGTCTTTTATTATTTTTGTATTTTGAATGTAATTTAAATTGAATATAAATTAAATAAAGGGTAAATTTCTTAAACTACCCTTATGGTTTAGATAATTAACTAAATATACCCTTATTGTTTGATTATTGCCTAATGTTATCCCTATTGTTCTGAAAATTTACTATTACCGTTAAAATACTAACGAAAGGGATGAAATGTCCATTTTAACCTTTAAATCAAATTGGAAGCTCGTCTTCCATGGTTTGGTCTTCGCCACCCAGCTCCCTACGAATTCAAATGTCTGTAATAGATTAGGAAAAAGTATGTCTAAACTGATTAGATCTTTGCCCATAAACACTAACGGCTAAGATCCAAACACTAAAACTTGAACTGAAAGAATATTCAAGCAAGGCATGGCTATAATTTCCGTGAAATTAACTTCATTAGATTCTCCATAATACTTTATGCATTCTTTGGCGTCGCTCTAGACTCATCTTTGTCCCCTTTAAAAGGCCAACCTGTCTTAGATATCTACAACGACAAACTCTTGTAACCCATCGAAGTGAGTGCTGGGTATACAACATTGATTTTAATGAAGAGCATGTTGTCATAATGGAGGTTCAAGTGGAACTTGCTCTGGGTTTGCTTTGTATGCGAAGTAAGGATAAGCTCTAGCCAAAGGAGCATTACGATATTCACATGGAAGCTTAAGGTCAGGGTGATGAACTTTGTTAGATCTCGGCGGAAAGCTCTAGCCAAAGGGGATACGAGGTCTCGAGCATAGCTAACGAGTGGGCAGTAGTGGGAGAGAGTGAGAAAGTGATTGAAATTGTACCTTGCAGATCGTAGTGTCACTGGTCCAAGAGAAAGCAAGCAAGCCATCGAGATTCCAATCTAGAGTAGAGGACATCGGTACTTATCCCCAATTTGGAGATTCCATCAAAGCAGAGGATGCTAGTGCTTTCCCCAAGGGTCGCCGGTGCTTCTCCCTAATTCGGAGATTCCATTGGAGAAGAAGGTGCCTCTGCTTCTTCCCTAAGGTGTTTCGTTGTCATTGTTGTGATTATGTTCTTTGTGGAGAGAAATGAGGAGATTTGGGCAAGGATTCTTGGGCATTATCCACTGGTTTTGACTCAAAAGCCGAGTAACAATGGTTGTGTGGACTTGAAGGGCACTGTTACAAACGTTATTTGTGTACAAGCTGAAAAGGATTAGACAATAATCAAACAAAAGGGGTATACTTAGACAATGATGTATGTGCTTTGTTAAATAATATAAATATATACAATTGTTTTATATTTTTATTTTTTTAAATAACTAATGATTATTTATGTTTTATATACTATTTTTAATAATATTTAATAATACAAAAATAAAAACAATTAATTTCAGCTAGGGTTGTTCATCAAATTGATGAAACTAACCAACCCAACCAACTCAACCTGAGTTGGTCAGTTTTCTAAAATTTCCAGTCGGCTTTGGTTCAACAATTTCTTAATTTGATCATCTTAGATTAGTTTCGCTTTGGCTGTTTGTAAATCAACCAAAATCAAATGACTTAACTATAGATGTATATTAATATTTTATATTTTTCAATATAATTTTTAATATGGAAAAGTAGTAAAATTCCCATATTGTTTAGTCTAAGATATTTTATATCATAAATTTAATTTTTAAAAACTATTTTTAATATACCACTATAACTTTTAAATTTAAATTTAAATTTCTAAGTTTAAGTCTTTTGAACTGACTAACCAAACCGAAAATTGACCCAAACTGATACAACCCCATTTGGTCGGTTGTCACTAATGGCTAGTTGGTTTCAGGTGACCAATTCCCCAACTTAATTAGTCAATTTGGTTGGCCAAACATCCTATAAACAAGTTGAACCAACCTGTGGACAATCCTAATTTCAACTAAATTAATAGTCTAATCTTTAATAAATAACAATGGTTTAATCTCCAATAATTATTGAAAAATTATCGAAAAATACACAATTATTGAAAATACATTGATAATAAAAATACAATAAATACTAAAAATGTATATTAAATTAGTCAATAAATAGTTTAATCTCTACTAAATATTAATCAATAAATTATAACAAAAATATAATAAGTACAATAAAATAAATTTAAAGGTTAAATAGTAGTAGTTTAATCTCTAATAATTATTGAAATTTTTTTATTAACTAACAAAACAAAAAATAATTTATACATAATTATTGAAAATATATTTATCACAATAAACAATAAATAATTATTTGAAATACAATAAATATTAATTTTGGTATAGATAAATATATAATAAATATAGATTAATATTTTAAAATTATTATTAATAAATATGAATTTTTTGAAAGTTATTTTCTGAAATTATTACTTCATATAAGTGAAATTAGTTATTTACAATATTATTATTCATTTGAATATTTTGTTATAATTATTTTTTTAGATTTTTTTCTTAAATTTCTTACATGATTTCGTTAGTTTAACTATTTAAAATCTAGTTATCTATCTATATCTATATAATAAGATGGGACATGCCATGTCAACACGTTTCTCCTTGTAGGAAACCCCCATTCTAATTTTCTAAATTTTTTATTCTTTTTTAAATCCACGTAATTATCCCAACAAAGAATCAAACAAGTGTGAAATAAAGTGGATGTAGTAATGTTTGGACTTCCAATGTGTCTCCTGCCCACATATGCCATTAAATCTTATAGAAAGCCTTCAAAAAAGCTTTTCTACAAAAGTTTGAAACCCTTGGACTCCCATACATGTCTTCTCTTTCTTCCTTTCCTTTGTGTTCAAATATTTGAATTCTACAGCCTCCTCTAGGAACATCTTTTATTAGGTTTGTTTCATTTTTTTTCTTAAAAATTTTTTTTCTCATATCTTCAACGTTTTTCTTTAGGTTTGACTTTTTAGAAGACGTGATTTAGCTTGGAAGAAGCATCACAATATTATTTTGCATTTTCAAATTGCTTGCTTAGACCAGGTATGTATTAG